CTGGCCCGGGTTACTCAGCACATCCAGAGCAAGGCCCAGCTAGTGTGGTTTCCTGCTTCCTGCTCCATTCACTTGAACCTCTGACTTCACCCTGTTGTCACTTAGCATTTCTTCTACGGTGGAGACTCAGGGTTCCAGTGAGGCAGAGAAGGGTAAAAGGCAGGGAAACTGAGGCCAGAGAGACCAGCAACAGCTAACTATGTGAGAAATTTACCTAAGGCTGAGTCCAGAGCTCAAAAGTACAAACTGACCATAAGGTGAATGGCTGGCTTTCATTTGCTCCCATCCAATTGTCTGCATCCAATTCAATTAAAGAGATATTTACTGAGCACCTACTATGTGCCAGACACTCATCTACATTCTTTGGCTACATCACTAAACAAAATAAAAACCCTGTTCCTTGTGGAGCTTAAATGCTATTGGTGGGAGATAAGCAATAAAAAGGGTAAGTGTATTACATATCATAGATGTTCACAAAGCCTATGGAAAAAGATTAGGAGTTGGAGATTTTTGCAGTTTTAAAGAGAGTGACCCAGGTAGACCTCACCGAGGGGACATTAGTGCAAAGATTTGAAAGAGGTGAGGGAAGCCAGGACATGTTTAAGGAGGCCAGAGAGGCTAGAAGTGAGCAAGCAAGAGAAGGGGAGAGGCAGGAGTGAGGTCAGAGGATTACGGGGAAGGTGCAGGTTATGCAGGACCATGAGCAGACGGAGGACATGCCCACTCTGGCTAATGTGTTGAAATAAACATAAATAGTGAGGATGGAGGTAGGGGGACCAGGGAGGAGGCTCTTGCAGTAATACAGGCAGGAGATGATGGAGGCTTGGACCATGTTGGTAGGAGTGGAAGTGGTTAAAAAAAAAGGGGGGGGTGTCAGAATTCCAAAAATGAAGGTAAAGTTGGTGGGATTTGCTGACAGTTTGGACATGGGGTGTAAGAGAGAAGTCAGGGACAACATCAAAATTCTGAATTGGAGCAGCTGGAAAAGTGAAATTGCTACCAATTGAATTGGGGAAGGCTGCAGGTGCTGGGGAGGGAAAACTAGAAATGCGCATGTTAAATCCAAGTTACCTGTCACACACAGAGGTGGTGAAGTCAAGTGGACTCTTGGATGTACAAGTCTGGGTCCTAGCAGAGGCCTGGCTGGAAGGAGCCATCACAGAGACGGAATTTAAGGCACAAGCCTGGTGAGATTACCAGTGAATGCGTGTGGACAGAGGAAAAAGCAGGGCTAAGGAGTGAGCAAAGAAAAGGAGTGTGAGAGCTTCTAGCTCTGCTCCCTCCCAGAAAGGAAGGGGATAGAGCCCTTACCTTCAGTACATGGTTATCTGGGCCTCAGACCAATTCTGCCTGGAGACCCAGGGAAGAGGCAGCATCAGGGTGCACGCTCAAGGACAGGGAGGATTTTCATAATCAAAAAAGAGATTGGGTATTCCAGATTGAACAGAATGTGCAGAGGCCCAGAGGCAGTGAGATGCAAGCTCTTTGAAGTATGGTAAAGAGTACAGTTTGATGACCTTAGAGTATGGCAGGGATGAGTGCATTACAGGGAAAATCAGAGCTGGGGTCTCCTCCTCTGGGTGAAGCTTCACTTTCATGGACGGAGCTGGTAGACCCCCTGCATCTCCTGAGTCCCTCTGGCAGCTGTATGGACCTTCTCCCTGTGTCACAGAGCTTGGGGGTTGTATCCAACCCATCCAGGACACCCTGGCAATTTGCTGTGCCTGAAGATGACTCAAATGCAATACCCCTCCAGCCAAGAGGCCAAGAGGAGTGGGGGAGTGGAGGACCCCAGTGACAGAAGGAACAGACTTAACAGCTTCTGGTGAAAGAAATCTCCCCAGCCAGCCCCTGGTACAAGTGTATATTTTCTCTATTTTAATTAAATATCTGTCACTCACACATTCATGCTGTTGCTCCCTTGTCAGCTATGCCAAGGTTAAATGAAAAGCAGTGTCCAGAGGAGCACTGGACTTGGAGTTAGGAGCTCTGATCTCCACACCTGGCTCTTCCACTAGCTGGACGTGTGGCCTTGGGCAAGTCCCTTCCTCTTTCTGGGCCTCAGTTTCCCCAGCTGCAGAGCAAAAGGATTGCACTAGGCAGTCAGTTTCTTCTGCTCTGGCCAGCTGCAGCCTATTCAACTCCTGGCTCTTCTTCTGATGCCCCTGATATCCCCATCTTCAGTCCCTGTGTTTGTTTCAACTGCGGTTCAATATATTCCCCCTGGAACTCTCATAACCATATGTTCCAAGAGTAATTATCTTCCAATTTCACCTTCCAATTACATCTTAATTTAACTTTAATTCCTGGGTGCCCGCTGGAATATCCAAGCCAAGCCTGATGACTTCTAATTAGGCTGCTGTTAAGCTAGTCCAGTGATCCACGACAGGGCACTTCCTGAGAAGACAGCATGGGCCAGAAGGGGAAGAGCACGGGCTCCCAGCTCAGACAGACCTGGACTACAATCCCAGCTCTGCCAGACATCAGCTATGTGATCTTGGACATGTTACTTTGCCTCTCTGAGCCTCCAGTTTCTTTATTGATAAAATGGAGAAATACCCCCTTTTTTCATAAGGCTGTTGAGAAATTGAAGAGAAATAATAGAAGATGCCTAACAAAGTCAACCATCAGACATTTCCTGTGTACCTACTTTGTGTCAGACACTGGATAAAAAAGCAGGCTCTCAAGCTGAACAGTCCGTGCTTCAATCCTGTCTCAGCTTCCCATTAAGTCAGTGACCATAAAAAATCCATGCAGCTCAGTTTTCCCACCTATAAAATGCGGACAGCAAGAGTACTCACCTCATAAAGAAAACAGAATTGATACAAGTAAAACACAAGCAGTACCTGGTTCCTAGTAAGGAAGTGCCCAATAAACATTAGCTAGTATTTATTGGTCATTGACAATGTGACACTCTTCCAGGCACTTTATGAGCTTTATTTAATCATGAGAACTCAATGATAAAGATCTCATTATCCCCATTTTTCAAATGAAGAAACTGAGGCACAGAGAGATTAAGTAATGTGCTCAAGGTCACATAACTAAGCAGATGGTGGTTTTGACATTGAGTTCCATGAAGTGTGAGAAGCACTATTACATGATCAGGAAATTCAGAGCATGGCACACAGAAATCATTACAGGAGGTTTCCACCACTGCCATCACAGCTGAAATAGTAACCAGGTTTACGCTGGAGGCAAATTACAGGGGCTGAAGCTGAGTGGCAACTGCTAAGATTTCCTGGGACCAGACCTGCCTCCAAGTTTTTCCGGCTCACTCCATCCCCCAGATTCTCAGAGAAGGGAGGGCTTGCCCAAGCCTTCTGCAGGGAAACGTGGGAAAACTGGAACCGCTCTCACCATTGTTTTAAAGCGAGTTTTATTAGGAATGTAGGAAAAAGCTAGCCTGGCTCTGTCCAGGCTGTGCCAGAACAGGCAGGAGGGGACCTTCTTGCTCCAAGGGGTGGCTGACTGGGCACTGGGGCTCTGCTCCAGCCTTTCCCAATCCCAGAGTAGCACTTCTGCTCTCACCGCACCACCTATTCTGTGACCCACACTCAGTCACTACCCAGGTGTCCACATGCCCAGCAACAACAGGGTCTGGACACAGGGAGGCGGCTGCCACACTCCCAAGTCCCTGAGTGTCTCCTTTGTCAGAGCATTCCAGCCAAACATCTCCTGTCTGCACCTCACTCCTCAGACAATGGCTTTTTTCATTAAAAATATTTCAAAAAGAAAAAACCCACCACACACACACACACCACACACACTACACACACACACACACACACCAACACACACCAGCAGGATATGGTTCTAAGACAGCCAAAATGGTGGCTTCCTGTTTCTTTAGGGATGTGTGTTTTGGAGTATGGCTTCAGACAAGGGTGTTGGTAGGGCAGGGGGCCCTTCTGCTAAATTCCAAGAGAAAAAAGAAAGAAAGAATGACGACCGCTCCGTGGCAAACAAATGAAGTTAGCTGGATTGTTGCTCTACAAACCCCCCTTTTGGAGGGAACTTTATGCCCTCCTCGTGGATGGAGTCAGGAATTCCGAGAAATGGGTCCCAGGCACCGCCCATGTCTGAGTCTCAGTTACAAAAATCTGTTAAATGGCACTGCTCTGGGGGGAATCGCTAAAATTGGCTGTCAAAACGCATTCTGGAGTCCACGGAATCCCTGAACTGGTGGAGTCAGATTCACAGAGAAGAGACACCAGGGATGGGTGGGAACACGGCGCGTGCGGCTGGGCTTCGGCGGGGAGTGTCCCCGGGGAAAGGCACAAGGAGGGCCCGGGCCAGGGCGCTGCGACTGAGGGTGCGCTGCAGGGGGTGGGGGGGATAATTTAGGGCTTTTTAGTCTCATCCGGAGAGTTGAGTTCCAAGTCGCAGGGTCTAGGAGAAAGAAGGGAGCAGGAATCCTAAGAGTGCACCGCCGGGTACTGAGGAACCAGGAACAGCTCCCAGCGTGGGGAAGAGCTCCGGACGGATCCCGTGGGCCAGAAGGGGCCTCTGGAGGGCCGACGAGGGGCTGGCGGGGTCCCCAAAGAGCAGGGGTGGGGGTTTCGGGGCGCGCCAAGTCGCCATTACGAAGGGAGTGCCTTTCTCCACTGCCGAGAGGACCCTCACGCGGGGGCCGCAGCGAGAGTGGGCTAAGGGCGTGCACGTCCAGGGAGCGGCCTCGCCGGCTGAGGGGCGTCCCTGAGGCGGGGCGTCCCGGGCAGCGGCCCCCGAAGATTCTCAGCCTTGGGGCGAGGGGAGTGCAGCCCCGCCCATACCCCGGCCGAAGAGGCTCCTGAGTGGGAAGGTCGGGGGATCCTGGGCGGCTCGCTCCAACTTGGAGCGCCCGGCGGGGCCCCTCGCGCGCGGCCCTCGGCGCCCTGAGGACGCGCGGAGCCTCCTACCTGCCCTGTTCATCTTCCGGCGCGCGGAGCCCGGGGCCGCCGAGAGTCGGTCCGTGCGTCCGTCGGTCGGTCCGAGCGCGAGTCCGCGCGCCGCCTCACTCCATGGCCGCCCCGCGGGGCCCGCACCCCCTGGCGCCCGCCCCGCCCCCGGCGCGCGCCGGACTCCGCGCGGCGCGCAGGGCAAGTGGGGGCGCGGGGCGCGAGCCTCCGGGGCTGGGCGGGCGGGCCGGAGAGCGGGGAGCGAGCGCGGGGGCCGCGGCCGGGGCGGCGCGCGGCGTCGCGTTCACTCGGGGTTCCGCACGGAGCGCCGGCAAGTGGGCCCGGAGCGCGGGCCGCCAGGGGCGGGGCCGCGCTGACGGGGGGCGGGAGCCGGGGGGGCGCGAGCGCGCCGCGCGTGGGGCGGCGGCCGGGGCAGCGCGCGGCGTCGCGTCTGCTCCGGGCTCCCGGCTCCGCACCTCTGCGCGGCAGCCGCGCCCCCTCCTAGACGTTTCCTCCTGCTCCCGAAGAGGAAGGCGTTTTTTTCCCCCTTTCTGCTGTCAGGGATCTAGGCAGCCGAGGGGCGAGGCGCCCCCGAGCACATTTAAAGGGGCCGAGGCCGTGGGGACTCGGGGAGCGCGCGGGGTTCAAGGGACTAGGATCCGGGCGGGTGACGCGGGGAAAGCCGGCGAGTTGGGCCTTTGGGGCCTTCCTGGGCCCTTCGCCCAACAGGCCGTCCATATCTTCGTTTTAAACCTCGCGCATTCATTCAGACCTTCACCAAGAGCGGTGGTGCTGAGCGCGGAACTAGACATATCCAAATTCTTGCCGTCACGCAGCTTAGAGGGGAGAAGATCGGCACAGACACAAGACAAATATGCAATAAGTATCATTTCAGAGATTGGTAAGTGCTTTGCGGGCGATAAACCAGGGTTATGGGGGCAGTGGCTAAGTGTGAAGAGCAGCATTAGAACTGTGAAGAAATGCAAATTCTAGGGACTCTTCACAGCCTTACTGAACCAGAAATCTCGGGCTTAATAAACCCTTCAGGTGGTGCTGATGCGCTGAAGTCAGAACCACTGGAGTAGAGAATGGGTGATGAAGGAAGGCCTCCCTGAGGAAGTGACATTTAAAGGAAGACCTGGTTGCTGAGCCGCCTTTCTTTGTTCACTCTCAGTACACAGGCCAGCACCTCCCTGGGACCAGACCCGGTGCTCATTGACATGGATGACTCAGAGAAGCCTTCGCCATGGAGCTCCATGTCTGGCTGGCCAGGCAACATAGTTCTGCTTCCTTGGAGAGTGCTGGGATGGGGACAGGAGTGCACAGTGTGGGAACTCAGAGGTGGCCTCCAAGTGGAGAGGGCCCAAGCAAGGAAAGTCCTTTCAGGTAGAGGGAATAGCTTGGGCAAAGTCAGAGGGGTCAAAAGGTATGACCTGTTGGGGCTGCCATGAAGGGTTTGGCTTGGCAGGAAATCGAGGGTGGAAGCATCCCAAAGTGAGGTGCAGAAGGAGGTGCTTTGCCACACTGAGGGCTTCCTTCCATCAGTCACTGAAAGCTGGTAAGGATCATGTCTTTCACATATAACTGGCAACTAACATTTATGGAGCACCTGCCGGGTGCCTGTCACAGTGCTTAAGCTATGTACATAAATGTTTATTCATTTAAGCCTCACTACAATCCTATGAGGCAGGTATCAAAATTCTTGCCATTTCACACATGGAGAAACTGAGTAAAGTAAGTGTTCAAATGAGACTTCCGGACTCTGTTCTTGCCAAAATTTGCTCTATCTCTGCAGCTCCAGACCCAACTCAAGGTGTGGCTTGGTCATTTGATAGATTGGTTGTGAGTCTACTAAGTGCCAGGTTGTAGAATTTCAGCATTTCCAGCACTCTGGGGGAAGAGAGCAGGGGGATGTCTCAATTTGTTTTGGCAATTTACTCAAAATATCTACTACTATGTGGAAGTTGAGGGAGGAACATGGGACATAACCCCCACCTCCCACTACCACCACCATCCTTTTCTGTCCATCAGATGGGGAAGAAAGACCCAGAGGCGACCCCTTGCCAGGGTGATGGCTCCAGGGCTGGGGCTATGTGTGCAGCCCTGGCATCGAATGTTAGAACCCAACACTTAGTAGGTTCTCAAAAAAAATTTTTGAACATGAAATAAAGGCTTAAGACAGTGATTATTTAAGATCACTTTAGTTTTCTGGGATTGAAGGTGGCAGAGGCTAGAATTTTTGGAACTTGCTATGCTGGGACTTTGCAAGGAGGCAGAATCCCAAATGAACACAAGGCATTTCACAACCATGGCTGTGTCTGCCTGCACCTAGGCACCTGTGGTCCAGCCTTTGGTCCAGGTGGTCTCAGATGACCAGATGTTTCCATTGCATAGATGAAACACTTACTGCTCTGAGCACACTGCTGAGCCACAGCATCAGCATTGCTCAGGTGCTTCTGAGAAATGCAGAACCTCAGGCCCTGCCCCAAACCTACTGAACCAGAATCTGCATTTTAACAAGCTCCCCAGATGATCTGTTTGCCCTAGATAACCTACCCCATTCTTTTTTGGCCAGAGCACACAGAAGTAGAGAAAAAACATCGAAGTTTCCCCAGGTTCTCACTGGGGTGAGAACATAATCCCCTAACCTTTGTCTCCTTGTTAATACATTACTGGAAGGTTGGTAGGTTTCTGGGTATCTATGAGCCAATGCTGAGCAGAACTCCTGGTATGTACCAGGTGCTCACCAAAAATATTACATTCATGAAGGTCTGATTTTAATTGTTACATGAGTCAGTTGGTGCCTGGCATACAGAAGGTGTTCAGGTACACACAGGGAAGATAGGCATCAATAAATTTCAGTTAGGTAATGTGGAGAGGCTCTGGGGAGGATAAGCTTTTTGTCCCATCATTATGAAAAATCTTATATAGTGTTTTCACAGTCAGCAAACTCTCCTCTCCAGGTTTGCAGGTTTTCTCTTGGTTTATCTTTTAATACCTACAGTGTAGAATGAGATTATGCACACTTTCAGGCAAGCGCCTCAGGTGTACCTCAGTTTTCCCAAATCAGAAATTGAATTGGATCCTTTCAAAGGACCTTTTAATCTTCAAGCCATGACAGAGTCCTTAAGCCCCCAGCCTTTGTGCAGAAGTACTTGAGCCTCGGGAATAGAAAATCTATGGCAGAATCAGTGTCATGCAGACAGGCTCTTAATAAACTTTATGGATCCCCGCATGGAAATGGTGAAGAAGGTAAGTTGATGAAGTAACCGTGGAAGTCATGGTGAAGGTGGGAGACGGGATGTGGCTGGCAGTGGAGGTGGAGGTACTGGACCTGACAGATGGTGGAGACGATAGACTTGGAGAAGACGGAGGTGGCGGGAGGGCTGGTCAAGGTGGTGGAGAGATGGTAGAGAAGGAGGGAGGGTGTCTGTTGGAATGCGGGTATGCATGAGTGAGTGGAGAAATCACTTCAATATTTGATGCCAAAAGAAAGTATGTTTTAATAATCAAGCTTGTTTCCGGGTATTAACAAAAAAAAAAAAAAACAAGTAACGTAGGACCCCAGGGCAGGAACAGGAGAAAGCTCAGATAATTCAGTCTACAGCCATTGCTACCCTCAGTGGTAGGACCTGCAAAAGGAGAGAGGAGGGCAGCAAGAGACCTCAGTGCCTCGCTAAGCCCTTTCCACCACTGTTGAATTTGGGATTTGAGGCTAAGCCACGTCTACTTAAGAAGATCACAGCACCAGTGACAGTTGGGAAAACACACAAGTCTGAGCCTGTTGGCTGCAGCCTCATGGTGGTGTGGAGTGATGGACTGTGAAGCTGAAACGCTTACTCCTTTGTTTGCTTTTCTTAATAAGAGAAAATGGATGTGAAAGACCAGAAGGCTTTACCCACATCCGGTGCTAATACTGATGGATGGACTTACTCAGTCCTTAAGGAACTGAGCCATAACCACCCATTCGGCTCACGGGCCAGCTGTAAATACCCACAAGGGACATGAGTATGTACGGGTAATTACTATCATCACTCTCCTTTTGAGCCTTTCATACATATATTCTTCCCAAGAATCCTATACAGGGATTGTTATATCCCCCATTTCACACGTGGGAAAACTGAGGCCCAGACAGAGGAAGTGATTTGCCCTTACAGGCCAGCCAGGACTCACACCCCAAGAACACAGGCTGAGTTCTTAACCACCGGGCTACACTATTTTCTCTGTGATGCGCAGAAAGTCTGCTTAGATGTCGCATTTTCCAAATCACTCTCACCGTCTTAATTGTTGCTCTCAGCAGACTGTCAGGCTGCCGTCATAATAGCACTGGTACTAGTAACGAATGCTGAACCCTAACATCTACTGAGCACTTTCTCTCTCCATGCTTCTTGTGATACCATTTTATATTAAAGAAAACTGAGGGTCAGAGAGGTGAGAGCCTTACTCAAGACTGAGAGCTAGTGGTGGAGCTAAGATTAAACCCAGGTCTTTCTGTCCTCAAGGCCTGTGCTATTCACGTTATACCACATTTGCCCAAGATCACAGTGGCAGAATGGGGACCAGAAACCTAGGCAGCCGGCCTACCTTCCTTCCTTCCATAAAAATGCAGCATGCCTTCTCTGTGCCAGGACCAGGTAAACATACCAGACTCACTCCCCGGCCAGCTGAGGAAGCAAGACACCCAACAGCAAATAAACCCTTCAGGTGGTTTATCTACCATCACTTTGATGGGAACACTAATGGGGAAAACAGACCTCTCAACTCCCCTCAGATGCCTTTAAACCCCTGGCGTGGGGCTGACCAGTTCCCTGGGGCCTCTGAAATCAAAGACACCCCCTCACTAGACTCCTTAAGACCCTCAGGCTGCTCACCACGAAAAGCCCCTCCACATCTCTCACTCACACATAACTCAGCAGAAAAGATTAGGATCCTCCAACTAAGCAAATATCTCCTGCCTTCTTATTATCTTTAGAGCATCTGGGGCTAATTACGTCCCTGTACACAGCTTAGGTAACGTCAGATCAAAACTGCTGAAATCGGGCTCCCTGTTCCCGCCTGCATGAAGCCTCTGCAAAGTGCAGAGCCAGCACCATAGCTGGACGTGGCCATGTTCTCCAGCAGCAGAGAGCGCCCAGGCTCTGTGAGCTCATGCCAAGCGGCCACGGCCAAGCCTCCCAGATGGGCAGTAGAATGCAGTGGTCAGGACCCACACTACCCTGGCCGGCAAGTCCCAGACTCAGCTTCTCCATCGGTAAATCATAGTAACTAGTATTTGCTGAGTGCTTATTTTGTGCATTCAGTAAGTGTTTTGCCTATATTATTTCTATACTATTAACTCATTTAATCCTCTCAACAGCCCATGAAGTACACCATGTTTGTTCTTACCTCCATGTTACAGATGCGGCTACCATGGTGCAGAGAGGCTGAGGCACTTGTCTAGGGATACTCAGCAAGTAAGTGGTGGGGACTCAACCCTGGTTCTGGGGCTAGCTTTCTTTCCCACTTTGGCACCCTGCTCACCCCTGTGAAGTGGACATGATAATAGCATATGCTCATTAAATGAGATTATTCATCTAAAGCATAAAACATTCAGGAGTGGGGAGAGGGACACAGAAGGTGCTCAATAAATGATCACTGTCATTTAAATGTCTAGTACATGTTGGTGCTAAATAAATGTTTGCAAAGTACACCAGGAACTGGGGCACACAAACCCCACAGTCAGAGCAGGAGAGGATGGGGCAGAGCATTCACTGAGCAGCTGCTGTACGCTGGGATGGGTGAGAGGGGGAAATGTGGGAGCCCCAGGGGAGCACAGGGAGGCAGCCCGGGTTCTGCTTCCCACCCAGCCCAGGAGTGACAATCAGGGTTTTGTTTCCTGCTGAGATGGGGGCTCTTCTGTAAAGCTGGGGCCTGATGCTGGCCAGTCCACTCCTATGGCAGTGTCCCCCTGGGCTTCCCTTTTCAATAAGGAGCAGGACTACTTTTTGTCTACAGGGAAAAAGTGCACGTTATTCAAATGGAAATTACCCTGGCCCCGCAGCCTCTTTGCTGACCCCCAAGTTTCCGCAGCCTCAGGCTGCTCACCTCACAGCACCATGACTGCATCATCGTCAGCTTCCCCTAGACATTAACTGAGGTGCCTTCCTGGCTCCAGAGGCAGACAAACGAATCTGGGCCAGACACCTGCTGGGGTGGATGGGTCTTAGCAAGGTTGCCCTGCCCTTCCGTGCCCCAGATTGGTTGGGAATGTCAGATAAGTTGAGTTTAGGCACAGTGCGCCTGCACCCGCCTGCACACACCCAGGCCAGGCATGCAGAGAGAGCACAGCCTAGAGACCCCTGGCTCCAGAGAGATTAGGCCTGAACTCATGAATGTTCCTACCCACAGTACCAGGGGCTCGAGTGCATGCTGGGAAGGCTTCCAGGGGGAGTCAGGCTTTGCCAGGCATCCTCAAGAAGTCACACAAGCAGAGGGGAGCAGGAAAGGGCCTGCCAGGCAGGGGCTGGAGGTGGGAACTGGGACCAGTAGTCCAGTTAGGCTGAAGTGTAAGGCATGCAGGATGGAGGGTGCATTCAGGTGAGGGAGCAGACAGGGGCCTCCAAGGCCATCGCCCAGCAGGTCGTCAGCTCCCCAAGGAAGGGCTGAGCTCTTGGGGAGGGGAGTCTGAGGCTGGGCAGGGCCAGCTTGGAGTTTTTATCACCACTGGGTGGGATCTGAGGTCTGTTCAGGAAGTGGCCACCCTCTTCCGGCCAGCCTTTTTTTTTCCTTCTGTTGGCCCACTGGGCTTTTTCCCGAGGCTGCATTTCCACAACGGCCCCTCCTGGCTGGCTGGGTGTGGGCATGGCTCCACCACACACCCAACAGCCGGGGCGGCCTGGCCCTAGGCTTCCTGCCCCACTTTGGCCAGGCTGATTGGAGGAAAACAGCCCTCAGGCCTTCTTCAAAACAGGAAACTGCTCTCCCTGCTTCCTGAAGGACAGGAACTGTTCCCATGGCAACCACGGGACAAAGCCGCTGTGTTAACCCTTCCGACGGCAGGCCTGGCTGAAAGCCCCTTCTTGCCAACTCTTCGTGGGGCTGGCCCCGTACAGGTGACACGGAGGGTCCACTTCACTGACATCCTCCAAGGCTCACCACCACTCCCAGGACAAGGCAGGGCTGGGGTTTAAAACCCATCGGATGGATAGCACGTTGAGATTAACTCAGGGGGAAGATCTGGTCACAGGGGAAGTTGAGCGCAACAGGGCACAAGCGTGGGGTCTGAAGTCAGTCTGTTTTGGCTCCTTGCTGGCTGTGTCCCTTGGGTATGTGGCTTAACCTTCCAAGCCTCAGTTTCTCTACCTGTGAAATGGGACAACTAGAGAGCCTGCCTCATGGGCCTGTTGTGAGCATTTACTGAGGTCATTCATTCATCCAACACACACTCATGTTGTGCCAGCTATTGTAGGCCCACCGGATTCACCTATGACAACACCACAAATGAAAACCTCCTGCCTCGTGGGACGAGTGTAGCATTCACAGGAGGCAGGCAGTAAAGGCCACACATGGATGGAAAAGAGACCTTCAGAGATTCTGTGCTGTGGGCGATGGATGGTGGGTGGAGTGTGGAGAGGTCTCTGGCTTGGTGGTCAAGGAGAGGCAAGAGTGGGGAGCCTCCCAAGAGACAGCCTGGGACCCCATTCAGGCAGAGGGGCCAGCAGGAAAAAGGCCCAGGGTGGGTCAGGGCTGTGCCCTCGGAGGAGGGGAGAAGGGGTGGAAGGGATAAGGCGGAGGAGGCTGGGCATCAGGGCCTCTGGGCTGTATTCTCAGAGCAAGGTGAGGCCCTGAGGGGTGACGCAGGCAGGGGCACAGTCGATTCACATTTGTAAAGATTTCCCTCTGGCTGCCAGTGCCCTTGGGACGCAGCTCAGAGTGACAGGGATTTGGGACTCTGTCAGGTGTGTCTTCTGGGGGATCTGGCCCTGTGGCCCTAGAGAGCCCTGAGTCATGGCAAGAGGCTTATTGGTGTTTTGGGAGGGCAGAGCAGGGACCTGGTGACCTGTGCCCAGTGCTGCCACCATTCAGGACCCCAGCTGTTTTCTTGACCACCCACTAGGACATGCCCTCCCTCCCTGTCTCTTGATGCTCAGGGGCCGCTGTGAGGAGGCCATGGACGTAGCCCCTCACAATGTGGCACATGCAGCAGCTGCCCGATGGTTGCTTTGGGATAAGATCTGCTCTCCTCACCAGGGCCTCCAACACCAGCACATGCCCACCTCCTCAGCCCCCTCCCACCCCATCTCCCACCACCCCTTTTCCCTCAGCTCCAGCCACCATAGCCTTTCTCTCCATTTCTCTCCATCGCTGCACCTGCCCAGCTCACCCTAGCCCCAGGAACTTTGCACCCATTTCACCTTCACAGATTTTCACATGACTGGGTTAGCTCCCTTCATCAGTTAGGTGTCAAATGTCCGCTCTTCACAGAGGTATTCCAAATGCACCCCGAGTCCCTTTCCATTCACCCCGTCACCCCATGTCCCTTCTCTGCTTGCACTTACCCATCTCTGTGTCCCACATTGGTTTGTTTACCTGCACGCCGTCTGTCCTCACCCAGAGTGCCAGTTCCAGGAAGCAGGGCTGTGTCTCTTGGCGGCTCTCTCCTGGCACCCAGAACACAGCCTAGCACACAGTTAGCACTCACTGTCATATGGTACACACTGAATGAACACAGAGTGACAGAGACTCCCGTTTCCTGGGCTTAGTACCAAACTCCCACTCACTAGCTGTCTCTCTGCCAGGAGGGCAGCCCTCAAGAGGGCTCCACTGCAGATGAGGGGAACAGGGATTAAATGTTTACCCTAAAGAGGAACTACGTTTACTCACCAATGGACAAACCAGTGAACAATCTCTGAGGACTGTGTGGGAGCTAGTGCACTGGGAGGTATGCATCATTATCTCCATTTTTCAGATGAGGAGCCTGAGGCTCTGAGAAGGGAAGTCTCTTGCCCGGCTGGGAAGTGGCAAGGTTGAGGGAGACTCAGGAATGACACCAGGAGCCCATGTCTTTCTCTATACTCTCCCACCATGTCAAAGGGCCCTCGAGTATAGGCAGACAGTGGAAAAGGTGATAGTAGTTCTGAAAAATCTCCTCCAAGGGCTTGTCAAGGTCACTGCCACAGCCACATCTCTGGGTTAACACAGAATCCAAACCTCCCGACCTGAGGAATCTTCTGGACTGGTTAAACAGGAACTCCAAAGTGTCATCGCAGGCCCAATGAGTTCCTGGGGTTGGAATGGAATAGATTCTTCATTTGGGGGAAATGTGGCAAAGCTTTGGAAGCCCCTTTAAGTGGCAAGTGGAGCCTAGGTGGGAGGAACACTGGGACCCTCATCTAGTCAAAGGGCCTGAGGTTCCATCTGGCCATTGGACAAGAACTTGACCACTGCTCATTTGCCAAGTGTGTAGTGATGTCCAAAGGGGCAGTGGTGTGTCCGTGCCTTGCCCTGCCGAGCTGGGACGTAGGGGCAGTCCTGGGAACACCCTGCCAAGCAACTGACTCCAACTTCCTACCTCTGACAGTCTCCTGCATTTGATTCCCCCCAGGGATAGGGAGCTCACGCCCTCACAGGGCCATCCTTCCTTTGTGGGGTCACTTTGCAGTATGTGAGTGGCCATGTCTCCTTCCCTGATGTACCAGGAATGGTGGCAGTTTAAAAAGAGGATTTTGATTAGCTACAATGCCTGATTCCTGATTTGTTTTCCCCGTAGAGCTAGGGAGTGAAGATGGTGTCTCTCTGCCACCTCCATGGCAGAGAGTGATGGAGACAGAGGCTCTGGAAAGACCATATTAATTAGCTTAATAAGGGAGTGTGCACCCATTCGGTTGTGCTCGGAAAGGGACCTGGAAGGCAATGTGACCCCCTGTCATGGACACCATCAATTGTTGGGTGAGCCTCCTCCTACCTGAAACCCACAGGCTCAAGAAAAATGGATCAGGCCCAGTCCAGGAACACTATTAAAATGCTCAGTGCTCTGGGCACAGCCGACGCCTCCATCCTTATAGAAGCGGCTGCTCTTGACACACGCGGTTCCTGCGGGAGCTACCCTCGGGCTGCCTGCCAGCAGAGGGGCTGAAACCAGACCCAGTCCAGCCCAGGGGGAAGCACCTCTTGTGTGTGGCCTGCAGGAGCCATTCACAAAGCATGAAGCATTCTAATGACCTGGTGCCAGAGCTTTGACAGCTCGGAGTTTGGGAGGAGGGTTTGAGGCCCAGCCCCCCCCCCCCCACTTCTCAGCTCTGAACCCCAGGCAAGTCCCTTTCCCTTCTGGGTGTCCCTCTCCTCATCTGTACAACATGTGCATTTCTAGCACCTACCACACAGGCCCATTAGGAAGAAGAAATAAGATCGTGGTGCACAGAGTAGCCATTTCAGTGTACGTTGGGTATTATTACTAAGTATGAATGAAGTACCT